CTTTAAAAAGCAGTAGTCCTTTGGTCCCTAAACACTAAGGAATGATATGATTTTGAAAGAAGTAAATCTGGGCTCCCCCAGCACGGAAGTCCTTGGCACCCCCAGGCCCTTGGTTGCTCCCCTGCACAGTCAATGCTCGGTGCTTGGCTGCTCTGCCGGCCTGAGCACTCCACCGCAGGCCAGGCGCAGAACAACCCACTTGATCAGAACCATCATCCAGTGGCCTGAGCCCCAGGCGCCAGCCTTGGGTCCGATCCGCCTCTGTCCATCCGCAGCTGCTCCCTTAGGAAGGGCCATTCCAGCATTTCTGTGCTTTTCCTTTCCTTTCTTCTCACTCTTCAGTGCCTGTCCTTGGGTGTTTGTTGATAAGGAGGGGGAGGGGAAAGGCAAAAGTCACCCAGAGGGCCAGGCTAAAGCAGCCTGCGCTCTCAGCAGCTCCGGCGAGTGCCTGGCCTCTCTTCCTGGGAACAGTCACACCAAAGCCAGATCCTGATTCCCTGGGCAGAGGGCTCTGGGGCAGCTCAAGTCAGAGGAAGGCAAACGACCCTTGTGCTGGGCCTCCTATAGCCCGTAGAACTTTGCATCTCTCTGCCCATCACACAGCAGACCCTGCAGGTCCCCCTCCTGAGCATGTCACTGCCGTCCCCTCATGTGCATGTTCACTGCCATTATCCCAGACGTGCATCTCACCTCTTTTCATTCAAACCCCTTAGTGGTTCTCTACCACTCTGAATACACAGTCAGAACATGTGGCCCCCAAGACCCATCCCGAGCTGGCCCACACCTCACCCCTCTGGCCCTCTCCGCAGCTAGGCTCTCAACTCAATGTTACCTTCTGGAACAGGACCCACTAAATGTTGCTGCAGTCGCCTTTGCCAGAGTATGAAGGCCAGAATGCTATCTAATGTATCTCAGTCCCTGGGTTGAAGGCAAAGCAGTCCCTGTCCAGAGGTTCTCCTAGGTCTCAAACTTTCTCAGAGGTGGGTGTCCTCAATGTCCCCAAAGGTGTCAAAGCTAGGAGGGGCTTGCCTGGCATCCGGGGAGACTGACCTTTCTGTGGCTGGTCGGTGAGAGCAGATCAATAAGGCCGGTTGGCATCCTTAGGCCTCTTTAGCTGGACCTTGAGCCTCTTCATGCCAATTTGAAAGCCATTCATGGCCTGAATAGCGGTCTGGGCACTGGTTGGATTGTCAAAACTAACAAACCCTGGGAGACGGGGTGTGGGCGCAGAGGTTAGAGGCGAATCCTGCCTGGCAGGGCTGCCTTTCTCTGACCTGTTCATCTCTCAAACCCCCTAGGCCAGTTCCATCCAACAGACCCCTCCAGTGTTTATGCGTGGGCATGAGCGTGGGCACAGAGATGGACACACACTCATAAGGGCAAATCGCCTGAGATTCCCAAAGGTGTGATTCTTGGAAGGACAGGAAGTGGCTGTATAGGGAAGGGACAGCATGTCAGCTGGGATTTTTCCCATCTTTTCCTGGCCCGGGTTGGCTGTCTCCCTCTACTGCTACCAGTCTGGTCCTTGGAGCAGCATTTGGAGTTGCAGGTATCTCTGGTCCCAGACCAGACAATACCTGGTTTGGCCAAACTCCAAAGCCCTCACCTGCTTGAACACCTAGATACCCAAGTTTCTCAGATGAACCTGAAAAAAAGCTTGTTCTTGATCTAGGTGTATCCCCCTGGCTAAAATATGACCTCACTTTATGCTATACATTCAGCCTCTGGAAAGCACTACCTTCGATAGGATCTGGAGGGCAGCCTCTCCCTGGCTAGAATGGGGAGAGCCCCAGGGATGGGGCTCAGCTCACCAAAACACTTGCTCTGGTTGGTGGCACGATCCACAAAGACTTTGGCAGAGACAACGGCTCCAAAGGGCAGGAAGGTCTGTATGAGTTCTGCATCCCCAAACTCCTGAGGCAGGTGATAGATGAAGAGGTTACAGCCTTCGGGGCCTGCAGGGAAAGGAGCAGGCTGGTTCAGGGGAGGGCCTTGGTCCAGCCCCACCAGGCCCTGATCCCCAGGCCCCAGTTCCTCACCTTCTCTCTGCTGCTGGGGCAGGGCTGAAGGCTGCTGGGGAAAAGTTGTGCTCACTGGGGCATAGGCTGATGGGTAGGCTGCTGGAGACACAGTTGGGAGTGGCACTGACCCCACAGCCAACCCAAAGCAGGGTTCCATCTCCCTGGTCATCATTTCAACCCAGTCCACCATAACCCTTGCCCCAAGAGGGATTGTTGGGGAGTTGAACATGAGCAGGATGGCAAGGTCAAGTTGTAGGAAGACAGCCTACGTCCCCCACGATCTCCCTAATCTTTTCTGGGGCCCGTCTCCCACCCAGGCCCGCGCAGTGCCCAATGAAACCTGCATAGTGGTGCATCCCAGCGTAGGCCTGCTGCAGGGAGTCAGCCACACCAGGGCTCTGGGCTGGGGAGAGAGGGGCCAGGCCCACGGTGAAGGAGGGTGGGCAGGGCCCAGTGAAAGACTTGGGGAGCATGGAGAGTGGAGAGAAAGGCGGGGAATCTTTTCCCTAGAAGCAGGGCCCATGCCACCCCTCAACCCCTGCTCCCCACTCCATTTCAGTGGCCCACCTGGGTAGGGAGAGAGCCCATTATTGTACAGCGTGTCAGAGCCCGGCTGCCCGTTGGTCTGGGCGGTCAGGGGACCGAATCCATTGACCCCGATGGGTCCAGGGAAACCAGAAAGGGTGCCTGGGCCACCTCCAGGTGGGGAGTTGGCTGTTGGTGGAAGAGGAGGCTGAGTCAGGTGCAGAACACCTGGTCCTCCCAGCTCCAGCTCCCAGGGCCCCATACCTGCTGCAGGCAACAGAGGTGCAGCCACCAGGCTGAAGGCTGCAACGTGCTGCATCTGGGCTGCCACGGCTGCCACCGGGCCAAGGCCAGGACCCTGGGCTGCTGCCAGCAGGGCTGCCTGGTGCTGCAGGATCTTGGGGAAGAGAGAGGGGCCCACATGGGAGTATCTACAAGGGCACCTCCAGCCCAGATCTCAGTCTGGCCAGCTGTCCCCAGAGCCAGTCACTTACCGCGGTAGTGTAGGCACCGCAGGCCCCAAGGGGCAGTGGCGCGGGGTGCAGGGCACCCAGCTGGCCGGCCATCTGCTGCATGCGACGTAGGGCGCGCTCACGGTCGGTATCTGCTAGCTTCACCACGAGGCTGGACGAGGCGCCCTGGCAGGCAGGGCAGGGAAGCCATAGTCCTGATCCATCCGGTCATGACCCAGGTCCCTGCACGCGTACATGGGGAGATGAGCCCATCCCGCCCCCTGGCCTCACCCAGCCCACGCCTCACCGCCATGGTCTGGCTCCCGTGCAGACCCTGGATGGCCGCCTGGGCTTCGCCTTGGCTCCCAAACTTCACAAAAGCACAGCCTGGGCAGGAGAGAGGGATCAGGTGGCTGGGGCCACAGGAGCCAAAGGGACACACAGCTCAGAGTGAGAAAAAGTCACCAGGAAACCCCAGGTGCCAGCTCAGGTCACCTTTACTGGTGCCATCAGGGCTCCGCAGGACGGTGCACTCCTCAATGTGGCCGAAGGGCTGGAACAGGCGTCTGACATCCTCCTCACCCTGCTGCTTGCCCAGCATCCCCACAAACAGCTTCCGGTCCTCTGGGGACAAAGCCAGGGATGTTGACCTGGGGCCCTCCCACCCTCCTAGGGTCCCCAGAGTAGTGGGGTCAGTTTGCAAGGTAGTTTGCCAGTGTATCTCTGGAAAGAGGTGCAGGAGGGAAAAGTGAGAAGGCCCTGGGCCGCAGAGGTTGGGCCCCTCAGGGGCAGGATGACCTCCAGGGAGATCTGGAGAAAAAGAATCAGTTCATATTTTCATCAGGAAAATCCTGGGCCCAGAGAAACCCAGAAATGCTCATTGCTGCTCCTGTGGGGAGTGGGGCCCCTACATGAGTCATTTTCTTTTCTCTCTCTTTTTTTTGGGGGGGGGGTTTGAAACAGGGTCTCACTGTATAGTTGAGACTGACCTGGAACTCAGTGTGTAGCCCAGGCTGGTCTTGAACTGACAGCGATCCTCCTGCCTCAGCCTTCCGAGTGCTGGGATTACAGGCATGCACCACCACGCCCAGCCCTTTTTCAACTTTTGGTACTGGGGATGGAACCCAAGGCCACACGCTTGCTAGGCAGGTGCTCTACCACTGAACTACTTCCTCAGTTCTGCACGCAGCATTTTATACGTTTGGCTTTTCTGTTATTATAGTCTGCGAAATGCCATTTCCCAAAAGACCATTTGGGTGGTAATGAAGGAGGATCTACTCAGAGGCCTTCGTATTCTGACTGCACTCAGAGAAGTTCTGCTAGTTAGCCAAGTTAGCTGGTTAGTCTGCTAGTTCTGCTAGTTAGCCCGGTAGCCAGGGCTAAAACTAAGCTCAAACGAAGAAGGGTTCTGGGTAAAACACAGTACAGAAAACAGTGGTCTTCTCCCACTGCCTCATTCTGGACACTGAGCACTGGGACGATGAGTCCAAATCCAAACCAATACTTTCCCCAGGCCACAGAAGAAACATGGGTTTCTGAGTCTCCGACGTTAGCATCTTCCCCACCACATTTGCTGAGTCCTTTACCCCAGTCCTTAACTCCCCACTGCTACTGCCCCCTTTGCCAACTTCCTCCTCTCTGACTTCCTTTGTCCTCCTCTTCTTATTCTTCCCCAAGTACTCACGGGATGGAGACTAAATCCTGACTGTAGATCTGGATGACCACCCGAAGAAAAGTCTGAGGCTTCAGTGTGCCCATGCTTCCTAGAAGAGGGGCAGAGGTGCAGGAGAAGTGCAAGCTGGGCCTGTGGCCCATATAAAAACACTGGAGGGCTGGGGTTAGACACCAGCTGCACATCTAGCAAGTGAGGCCTCTGAAGCACTGGCGAGGAGCCTGAGAGAGAGGCACTGGACCTGTTGTTAAAGTCTGGCTCCTCTCTGTGCCAAGGTAAGTCTCTGAATTTGGATGGGTCCTGCCTCATACGGGAGAGAACCCGTGCGTGGGAATCTGGCTTCAGGCCTCACCTTCAAGATCCTAGAGCTGAGGTAAGCCCATCCCAGACTCCTTTACTTCCTGATTGACTTGCTAGGCAAATAGGGCAGTCCTTGGATCCCTTGTGCTAAAAGACAAGGCTGGTGAGGAAGCAGGGTCATAGGCTGAATGGACCAAATGAGGTTAACAATTTCCTCTAGGTCAAACTCTACCAGCTTGGTAAAAACCAGATGCTACAAGAGACAAGCAAGCAATGTCTGAATAAGAGCATCCTATAGGGAGGGGATCCCTAGAAAGATGGTGATGTCAAAATGGAAACTCAACCTTGCTGCAGTGGAAGGCGGCATCTGTGTACAGTTGGGACATAGTTGGAAAGCCGCGCAGTTGAATGGAAGAACTGCACTCTTCTGTTGGCAAGTACTGTGTATTCCTTGTTCTCCTACCGAATACTTTGAACTCAAAACATGCGCTCTAGGCTCCCAGAGACCTAGCTTCATGAAGCCGCCTAGTACATCTGGCCTTGCATGTTAGGGTTTCCAGTGCAGTGAATAGTTAGGAAATTCAAGTGGAGTCAGTCTCATCCATCTCATTCCTAAAGGGCACCAAGAACGCTGTTCAAGAAAGCAAGCAAGGTTCCTATGCTTCTGTTTTCTAGGTACCTCGCACTCATCTCCATGTTGCTGGGATGTCAAGATCGTAGGGACAGAAGAAAAAGTCTCAGCTGTGGAGAACCAACCACCAGCCCACACTGAAAAAGACTGGTTCACATTTCAGCCCAACACTACCCCAGAAAGTTCTGCCACTCCCACCAGGGGTTATCAGTGATGACTGCAGCCTAAGAAGCCGGGGAAGACTGAGAGGGAGAGCGAAGGAAACTCCCAGGACTAGAGGGCTCCTGGCCATATCTGATAAGCATCAAGGACTTTAAAACAAACAAAAACCTGTTAGAACTCATAAATGAATTCAATAGTGTTGGAAGACACAAAACTGACACTCAGAAGTCAGCTGCATTTGTATACACTAAAGATAAACATTTGAGATGAAAATTAAGCAATTAATTGCATGTACAATCACATCCAGAAGAATAAAATACTCAGAAAGGGCCACAGAAGTAAAAACTTTATACATTAAAAACTACAACGTGGTGCTGATAGAAATTAAATAAGATGTAAATAAATGGAAAGACATCCTGTATTCATAGATTGGAAGAGAGTATTGTTAATGTGTCAGTACTACGCCAAAGCAGTCTACAGATTTAACATAATCCTTATCAAATTTTTGATGGCACATTTTTTTTTTTGCAAAAATAGAAAAATCCATCATAAAATTTCTAAGCAATTGCAAAGGACCTCGAAAAGCTAGCAAACCTTGAAAAAGAAGAAGAATTTCCTGTTTTAAAACTCATTCAAAGGTTTTGTAGGGCCAGGGATTTAGCTCAGTGGATCCGGTGCCTGCCTCAGAAGCTCAAAGGTCTGAGTTTGATCCCCGATACAAAAAAAAAAGCTATAGTAATCAAAACTGTTTTACTTGCATAAATCAAATATACAGACCAATAGACTAGGAGAGCCTGGAAATCTGACAATTTGTTGAGTGACTTGTAGCAAGCATTCCAAGACCATCCAATGGGGAAAGGATGGGCTTTTCAACAAATGGAGGTGGGAAAACAGGATGTCCACATGCAGAAGAATGAAGTTAGATTCTTTATTTTACACCAAACACAAAAAAGTCTACTGAAAATGGATCAGCATGCTAAATATAATAGTGAAAACTACAGAACTCTTAGAATAAAAATAGGACGGAAAACTACATGACGTTGGATTTGGCACTGGTTCCAGAATATGGCATGAAAATATAGGCGATACGAGTAAAAAAAGATAAACTCAACTACATCAATATGAATAATTTCTATACTTAACATGACACCCTTACCCTTAACAGGGCACAAAGGCAATCTATGAAAAGTGGGGAGATGTTGGCAAATGGTATTTCTAGTAAAGTGTTAATGCCCAGAATATATAAAGAACTCCTACAACCAATGGTAGCAACAACAACATGAAAATTTTCAATGGGCAAAGGACTTGAATTGTCACAGCTGTGAAGAAGATATACACATGAACAAGAAGCATAGACACAATGCTAAACATCACTAAATCAATAGAGAAATGCAAATCAAAACTATGATAAGAACTCACCTAACAGAATGACAAGAGCTTAAGAAGTAGAAAAATATAACGAATTTAGTGGGGAAGCAGAGAAACTGGAACTGTGCACTACTGGTGGGAATGTAGAATGGTATAGCCTGTTTGGAAAAGTGTGGTGGTTCCTCAGGAAAATAAAAATTGAATCACCACATGATCCAGCAGTATGTATCCAAAGCACTAACGGCAAGGTGGGCTTTTTTTTTTTTTGCATTTCTTTAAAAAATTAATTTTAGCCAGGCATGGTAGCGCATGCCTGTAATCTCAGCACTCAGGAGGCTGAGGCAGGAGAATTACCACAAGTTCAAGGCCAGGCTAGGCTACATAGTGAGTTCAAGGCCAGCCTAAACTGCATAGCCTATCTCAAAAAAGCCAAAATAATAATAATAATAATTGTGGTGGCACACACCTGTAATCCCAGCACGCGGGAGGCTGAGGCAGGAGGATCGCTGTGAGTTTGAGACCAGCATGGGCTACAAAGTGAGTTCTGGGTCAGTCTCAACTACACAGTGAGACCCTGTCTCAAAAAACAAAAACACAAAAAATGAATTACAGGCCTTTGCCCTCAGATACATCTAAGCCTTTTTAAAACTTTTTAATTTTGGGACAAGGTCTTGCTAAGTCACCCAGGCTGGGTTTGAATTTGCAATCATCCTGCCTCAATCTCCCAGAGTGCTGGGATTACGGGCATGTACCATCACACCAGGCTCTTAATTTTAATTTAAAGTGTAGAATAAATTAACTATAATCATCACGCTATGTGACAGATTACTAAAACTCATTCCTTCTGCTTAACAAAAACTTTGTGCCCTTTGACCAATATCTCCCAGTCTCCCTTTTTCCTCCCATCAGCCCGTTAACCACCCTCCTCCTCCCTCTGCCCATAAGCTGCACTTTTGGATTTCTCTTCTTCTTTTTTTGTTTTGTTTTTTTTGAGACAGGGTCTCACTATGTAGTTGAGACTGACCTGGAACTCACTATGTAGCCCAGGCTGATTTTGAGCTCACAGCGATCCTCCTGCCTCAGCCTCCGGAGTGCTGGGATTACAGGCGTGCGCCACCACACCCAGCTCACTTTTGGATTTCTCATGTGAGTGAATTTGTCTTCTGAAAAAGCAGGGCCTTAATGAGACTTTTGCATACCCATGATTATAGGAACATTTATATATTTTCTTTCTTTCTTTCTTGGTACTGGGGATTGAACTTGGGTACTTGAGCTTTCGAGGCAGGTGGCAGAACCACTGAGATAAATCCCTGGCCCTGTTGATGTTGTTTTTGAGGCAGGGTCTCACTAAGTAGTTCAGGCTGGCCTTGAACTCATGGTGATCTTCCTGCCTCAGCCTCCTCAATGATAGGATTGCAGGCATGAGCTATAGTAGCACTGTTTGTAATAACCAAGAGATGAAAGCAACCCAAATATCCACCCACAGATGAA